CAGTTTCACAATAAGGGCAATAACAAAACTCTCTCGGATTGTTCTTATGCCAACCCTGTATGTAATTCCATAGCTGTGTTCCTCCTAAAATTTAATTTACCAGTATTATTTTCAATTTAACTGAAAAACAAACGTTTAGCACTTTTGGACAAAATAATACTTGTTTGATTTATCTCACCAAAAAATTGGATAAATCCAAAGTACTGTGAACCGCTCACTAGCTAAGGTAACAGATTTATTAACATAATGATTGATCCAGCTAATTTCAGTTAGAGACCATATATTATATCATATAAAAGACCATGTAAAGACAAAATATATACATGCATCAAATCAAGTTCAAGAGAAAATCTATACTGACAATCTTTGTAAAATAATTTCTTTAAAAACCATTTATAAATTTCAAAAATTTTTTTTTAAAAAAAATAAATATCCAAACTGGATTTTATTGCTCAATAACATCACTGTTTTGGGGTTTTGGATGCGGGAATTAAAATACGAGGCGTAGCCCGAGTGATATAAAGATGGCATCCGAACGACAAACAGTGTTTATCTAGCAATAAAATCACCGATTTGGATATATTTTTCGATTCTAACACGCATCAACAAAAAATGCTGCCCTACATTATAACTAGCTTAATTCGCCTGATTTTTTTTCCGTACTTATTGTCAGTGGTCACATTTTAGTGGTTACGTCACTTTATAATGATTACGTCACATGTTTTAAATATAGCGTCAAAATATTTTCTTTAAGAACAAATTTATAAATATTCAAAGATATTATTTATTCAGAAGGCACAAATAAAAATGGCTTTTCTGGATTCTTGTGAGGAAGGGAGCTAATCGAAACTAGTAAAATAACCTAAAAACTAACGCAGTTATCTCCCGTGTATTCTACGTTACATATGCATTTTTCTCCCACATAATTACCCCTCTGCATGAGCATGCATTTGAGTTGAACTTTTTAATAAAACACTGTGTTATTAAATGTGTATGATTTTCCTTACATGTACAAAAATGAAATATTTTTGCACCCGGTCAAAGATTTGCCTGGGTAGCACCATAGCTAGAGCGTTGGAGTGTAAACCCGGCGACCCGGGTTCGATTCCCGGACGGTGCAGGTCACTTTCGTTGTGATTGATCATGAAATCTATTCTATGGTCATTCGCATTGTACCTCTTCTTTGGCATGTACAAAAGTGAGCAGTTTCTTGCGAAAGTGACGGGAACTAGTACTGGTAAACTGCTTGACAGCCTGTCCAGGAACGATGCGGTGGCTGAACAGTGCTCTGGTAAATTCATTGTGGCCTAACATGGCTTACTGTCACGATCCGGAGTGAAAACCACTAACATCATCGCCACTCTTTTAGCATTAACTCATCACTAAATATGATAAAACACGTGCAAATTTTGCACAAAAATAGAAGGAACAATTAGATGCCAAAATTACAAATATATATTTATAAAACTACATTGGCAAGCCTTGGGCAAACTGCACATTTAGATATACATGTATTACAAAAAATACAGACATTTAATATATGAATAACAATATCATGTTTAAAAAAAGATAAAGATTAATCTTCCGTCTGGTATTTAACATATTAAGCGCGCCCCTACATGCTGTAATATAACAAACAAATATTTATTCAATAACAATCATAATATCGTCCTTTGTAATAAAACGGCATATCAAGATGGTATATTATATAAATGAACCGTTTATAAAAGCATAATTTGATTTTAAATATTGATCGAAATCTTAAACCCAGATTTGAAGTATCATTTCGATTCATTCAACCCCCTACTTATTTATCTTTTTTGTATTCATTGCGTAATTTGAAAACCTATTCCTCCAACTTAACAAAGACACTTATTTGAGCTGCGTCACGACAAAACCAACATAATGGGATTGCGACCAGCATGGATCCAGACCAGCCTGCGCATCCGCGCAGTCTGATTAGGATCCATGCTGTTCGATTACAGACCCTATAACAAGTAGAAAAACTGATAGCGAACAGCATGGATCCTGATCAGACTGCGCAGATGCGCAGACTGGTCTGGATCCATGCTGGTCGCAAACCCATTATGTTGGTTTTGTCGTGACGCGGCTTATTTGTACATCTAATACCTCGAAAAATATGCACGGGTTAAACTTCAATTGTAAGATTTGAAGAACTTTAAATATCTTAAACGCTTTTTGTCAAAATATTTTAATCCTCTGAACATGTTAAAATCTTTCGTCGCTAGATATCTAATTATACCATTTTAGAGGAGATGTTTTTATAAACGTGTAAAATATCAATTGTTGATTAAGAAGATTCGTTGATACATTATCGACGTGATGTTGTTAAAAAATCATGTATAATAATCAACTTTTTATATCGTTTCAACTAAAATTGTGTTATTTATAAAATGAAAACATTGAAAAAAAAGTTAACAAATCCCTAACTTATGTCATCTGTCAGAGCAGGACGTGACGATATTACGTCTTCAACTAAAAGCTACCCCACCCCCCAGATTAGTTGAATAAAATAAAATAGAAAAGAAGAGGAAAATATTATTATATTTTAAGGTAGTATATGAAACTTTGAATATGAAAGAATTTACTATTCGACATGTTTTAGACATTTTCTGTGGTAGGCTTAGGCTTGGTAACATGAAATAGTTTTGTAATAACAACAATTTTTAAGTTTCAGTAAATTATATATTTTATATTATTTCTATAGCCTCATTTTTCGTTTGAACAACATTTTGTTATTTTCAATATTTTATATTATAATTGTATTGTTTGACTTTCACACAATTATGTATAATCAGGTTATGAATGAGTAACGAAATTCTAAAGTCTAAAAATTAATTCATGTTCTGTTCTGTATTATAAGATGTTAAATAAGTCTCGTGCGTCATGTATTTCAGAAAACAGCTCATTTTTATTTTGCAATTGCGTTAATTTAGACATATTCTTGAATTTTCATAAGGCATGTTATTACATAAAAGTGGATATGGAAATATGTATTTCCTGATAAATATAAGACGGGACATAGTCCTCTCAACGCAGGGATCATGCTTTCGAGCCTAAATCGGGTCACGACCATGTTTCTTCATATGACACCAGTACTGGTTGGTTCCAGGTAGTGGACTCGAAAATGATTAATATATGTTGCAAGAACTTGTTTCGCAGTCGAGCTGAAATAAATATGTTTTAAACCTGTCCAACTGTTTTTAATTTTAACCAAATGTAGAACAAGTTATTTTACTTCGAAGGCGAAACATATTTTTCTATCTAGTATGATATTAAATTAAAAAGAAAACACTTTAAGTTTTAAAATTTGAAAATTTCTATAAAAAAAATGTGGAACAAGATAGATCTGCATTGATTTTGTTACATTATCTTTTTGGATTGAAAAAGATAAATAGGTATTATATAAGGGCGGATATATCAGGGGCAGAAAAAAGTGATAAAAATGTTATCATAGCGTGGCTTTGTGTCAGTGAAAACGACTCTGATAGTGAAATACCTTGAATAAATATTGGCAATTATATTAGGGGTGTTTAACCTAACATTTATCTTTTAGTGTATATAGGTATAAAACATATACATTCTTATCAAACGAGTGAAATTCGTGCAAGAAAGTTTGTGTATGGATTCATGTTATGTATACTAGAAGGAATTAATTTTTTTAGAGTATCTCAAAGAGGATACAAAAAATTGTTGAATTGATAAACTTCTAAACGGAACATATCGAGAGAGAGGTATTATGAAATTTTAGTATTCAGTTTTAATATCAAGGTTAAATTTTTTGGCATATTTTAACGTTATGATGCCACTTTGTAAGATTTGATAGATGGGAACAGAATATCAATATTTATATAAACTATCATAACACTGCTTATTTGTAACGACGCTTTTCATTGGATAATCGTGACGTTCATATTGTTTTTATAATACTGCACGTTTGTAACGTCGCTTCTGCTGTCAGTTTGTCAAGAAATCACAAATTTCCTCTAAAGAGTTATTTTGCTGTGTTATAAATTCGTTACAAATATTCTTGACAGGCAATATGGCCGTTATATAAACGTTTCTTTACAATATAACCATGTCCTAGCGGCTCAAATCATGCAAACAACCATTTATATAGGGCCATATAACCTTTAAAATCTTTATAACTAATAAAGATACAAATGATTTACTGTTAGTTCTTTTATCCTTACTCTGGCGGAATTGAGCGTGTTTATCCTTTGCCAACCAGTATAGAGCTAGCCCAGTCTGCACCTCCTTGCAGTGTGACATGGCACATTGAAGGTTCCATGATATCTGCCACTGCCATATGGACACATCTTATGTTCATGTTAAATGTTGAATTCTGCTTAAGCCGGTGCTAGGGGGGCGCATTGACGGTAACTTTTACTTTCCATTATCGCCCATGAACAGGCTCAATCAAAGCGAGCCTTAATGTAGTCTATTTTTCTCTCTATTTGATGTGTCCAAAAAATGACAAAAGACAGGCCTTTCTTTTTAAAGACATTTAGCAGTAAAAGTTATTCTAACAGTTGTAATGGATATGAAATATTTATTATTCAAGATGAATAATGCAATATGAATATTTTTCAAATACGAAAATATTACTTCTGCAAAAATGGCAGTTTCAATCAATAAACAAGTGTATAAATCCTTGGCAAAAAAGAGTTTATTATTGCGAATCATACAATTTTACGTATAATGATTTTAAAATCTGTCTGAGGGCTTTAAATGGATTTTTCCGTGGTTATTTATAGCTTATAAATCTTGGTATTTGTGTATCATTGTATAAAATTATTTAAATGTTATATAATACATCAATAATTTGTATAAATATGCGTAATCTATCCATTCTATTATTATATTAGATTTATTGTCAATATTTGGCTTTATGTAAATAATATCATATTTTTATTTATGTTAAGAATTACTTCTTTAAGATCCAAAAAAGGAACGACCATTAGCGAATATTTTATTACCAAGACTGACACCACAGACATTACATTTAATCGGTTCCCTCTACAAGATATTTCCTATTATAAATGAAAATTTATTTAAAATTGATTTTAGAGACAGCTCGTTGAGAGAGATTTAGATTTGTCAAGACATTTTATGTGAATCTTGTTGACAATGAGAGTCTAATAGAAAATAGTGATAGCGTGAACAAATCTGTAAGAAAAGAAAAGTTAGGAATATAGTGTTTTATAGAAATTGTATCGATAAGATACTCTGAGATAGAGAAGAAAAACAACAAGGATACCGAATATTTGCTGTAAAGGGAATAGATTAAAGTTTTATAAGGTATGGTTGTTTCATTTTATTACAAAATATGATTATACTTGTATGCCATTTTGTTTTGTACGCAAAATTAAAAAGTTATGGTCCTAATCTATGAAAATATACAAATATATGTTTGTATTTGTATGCCATTTTGTTTTATTCGAAAATTTAAATAGTTATGGTCCTAATCTATGAAAATATACAAATATACTTGTATGCCATTTTGTCCTGTTCGAAAATATAATATAATATAATTTAAGGTCTTAATCTATAATAAAATATATACAACGATATGTTTATACTCATATGGCATTTGGTTTGTATGAAAATATGAATATTTAAGGTCCACAACTATGAAAATATATACAAAGAAACGTGGATATCAAGATTCTTGGACCAATGGGTGCAAACTCAGTCAGGACCAAGCCGTAGTTTCATTTGGCAAAAATGTAAAAGTAAACTATATCTATCAGCTTATAGCTTCCAGCACAATCGGGCTTAAACAACTAAAATTGACAATTTTTAATCTTCAAATGTGTATAAGATTAAAAAGATAGCGAGGTAAAAATAACGAGTTTGAAATTTAGAAATGAAATACATACATAAAATCTGTCACAAAATAATACGTAAAATGGTTATATTTAATGTTCATTGAAATGAAAGTACATTTTAGTGTATTTCAATTTCAAATTATAAAGTAAAATGAATTTTAAACTTGCCAAAATACCTGTCAATATAGGGCTTAAAAGTTTAATATGTTGATGCTATCAGCTGATGCTATTCATAAATTTAAATCCTACAAAATATAAATTAGTTTGCATAAGCTACAAAGTTATTAAAATCGGGAAGTTGTTGAACTTTTTGGGATTTAAATAATTTGTGAGTTAAACTTTTTTATATTAAACGAAACTAAATTTTACGCTGTTCAACGATTTTAATCTTATACAGTAATAATGTATTAAAGAGACATGGTGTGCATAATTTTTCGCTGTCAAGTTGAGTTGAATTATTAATATATTTAAAAAGATTGGCTATTATAATGATGACTTACCAATATTTGATAATGGAAATATTTATGATACAATATATAAAAACACCTAAATTATAAAGAGAGCTCCTCTCTCTTTTTAAGAATTGGAAGTTACCGATACATTCTGAATAGTACGACGTACGTCGTATTTAAAGGAATTTCGGTTGGTCACGTGAATTATTGAGTATTTTTTCAAAATAAAGCATAAAATTGACCATAATTTTGGCAAACTGTTATGTTATCTTTATTTTTACCTATTCTCTGACCAGTTGTACTTAGATGGGCATAATGTCACTTAAACAATAAAAAGCATGTCATTTACATTTGTCCATTTGTTCTATTACATTTTCAAAAGTTTGGTAGGCTGCAGATGTGAAACTCATAAAAGAATTTCATTATTTCAATCTGAAACATTTGTTTAGCTTCTTCATCATTGGCAAATGTTTCTAACTTTTATCATGTCAATTTTATGTCAATGCTAATTTCTGATAAATGGACATGGGTGGTAGATACAATTTACCACATCCGTCCATGAACAAGCTCAGTTAAGCCGAAACTTCAACAATTTCATTACTGCTATTTTGGGCGCCTTTTAAGTTTTCGTGACCATTTTACTGCAATCGTAAAAATATCACACAATTCTTTGTCAGAAAATGATGTATGGGTAATAATACGAATTTTTCAAATATATTTGATTTGATCGGTCTTCTTCAGATATATATCCTTTGCAAACAATTACCCTTTGTGATAATACGTGTACCTTTTATTCAGAAGATATTCCTTTTTACTTATTATTACACCTTAACGTTTTATACTCGTTGAATTTTGAATAGATGACCGTTGAAGTAGAAAATTTTATCTAAATCATTTTGAATTATAGTAATAAAATAGTTATCTAATACTGAATGTGAACAATTGTGAATAGACAAATGGTGTCAGACAGAAATGTTTGATAATACGGGTCAAACAATGGCACACTTTTAACCGAAAATTGCATTTTTATTTTGTCATTTCATTGAAATGTTTCATTTGCTGAAGTAGCAAACATTATTTGTATTTATATCTGTTATGATCTTTTGCTGAATAATTCCGTGCAAGGTACGGAAAGAGAGCACACATTGTAATACATCAACGTAGGTTTCTAGTCTTCAAAATTAACTGACACAAAGTTGATGGTTAGGTCTTATAAATATGGGCAAGAGAAATACCCCAAATCTTTGAAAACAGAACTTTTGAAAGCTAAATTGTGTCTATTGATGATTAATAGTTAGTGGAACATCACTCACGCCGCTAGCACCGTTTTAAACATTTTTCAATCGAAAAAAGTAAAAGTATTAGTTTAAATAATCACGATGGACACACACATATAACAAAAAACATTAAAAGGGAAGGACTTGGCAACTTTTTCGGCATAAGACTTTAATAAGACGTAACATTTAAATTTATTGAAAACTTTTGATAAAATACTAGATCTAGTTAAAATGTTCGAATCATGAAATAGAAAATTTATCGCTTTATATGATATCTAAGTGAATTAATTAAAAGTCAAACAGAACAGAAAAAAATGACAAAGCCATGTTAAGAATGGCGTTTTTGTTTGTTAATGATACTTGTGTATTTTATGATCATTGCAGTTGAATGTTTTAAAGCCACTTCATGTTTTAATTTGAATTTCTTTAAGTGGCTTTTACAAATGCATTGATTGCATGATTTATTCCCATTATATTGAAAAGTTGTATTTGCACAAACAAAGCACGTGTCTTAAACATTTGATTTCTATTGACATTTTGTTAAATGATATATCTTTATAGAAAAAGGAAAAGGAGAGACCTATTTTCAATCGTCGGTGTAGTACTCTTCTCTAATATATATATATACATTGTATATATATATATATATATATATATATATATATATATATATATATATATATATATATATATATATATATATATATATATATATATATATATATATATATATATATAAAACAACAACAACTGTCATAGGATAGGTATAGAGCAAAACTTTAATAAAGCACATACTGGAAAACATGTACTATATCTATTTGTGTTATATTATGTTTGTACAATTGTTTGAAACTTTCATTTATAGATAAATTAAGTTTAAAATGATTGGTTTTATCGGCTTATCAAAAGGTGAAGGTCAAATGTAATTCGTATTTTAAAAGCTTACATGAGTATTCTAAAATATTTTCATTGGAATGCACTGTAAAAAGCCTGATAAGATTTGTAAAGTATTTGAACATATGCAATACCGATAAGGTTAAGTATGAAATGAAACCATATACCACTAACCAAAAAATTAGTTTGCCAATGACTATTATATTTGTAGCTATAGTTTACATCCACTTCCTATTTGGTGATCCTTAAAGTGACATTATGCCCATTCAAGGGAATACAGTGGGTGAACAGGTGAAAGTCAAAATTAGTTTTTATATTGCCATAATTCCTTTTAATTTTTTATTTACTTCAAATAAACAATAAATAACCCCCGGATCGAAACAGAATACCTGTAAATAACAATTAGAACTTACCTGAAACGTATAGTTTGTAAAAAGAGTGGGGCAGTCTTTTTTTATAGTTTAGGTAGATTTTAAATTTTATCCTACACATTTTCCAAAATAAACTGTTGGTCAAACACCATTTTTAAAGTCAATCTTTTGAAAAAAAAAGTCAATTCAGGTCAACTTGACTATGAAAATATGAGCATAATGTCAATTTAAAGGGAAAAAACTAAAGTATTTTGACATTATGAGACTGGATACATTTTCCGAAATTTGTGTACAATTTTATGCAGGTCTGGATCAATAACTTATATGCAAATGTTCAGGTCATCCTCTCTACCTGTTTTTTTCACAGATGATCATTTTCATTGGCAAAATTACCCAAAAAATGAAAATTTTCACTGAAATCCGGCTAAGAATTGCACAAAATTAAACCGATTTTCGATTTAATTTTAAGCGTTCCACTTGATCTTGTACGATTTTCAAATTTTATACATTTAGACTTTTGGATCTCAGCGGAGTTCCTTTAAGAGGCTGTTTCGATTGCAATTATTGTTTGATTTATTATAGTCTTTATTGCTGCATTATTGCACACTTTATTATAATACATTTACAATACACTTAAATTGTTATTAAATGCCAATAAAAAATGCTTTCTGCACTTGACGTCAGATGTAATTTTCTTTTCTTAAGACGCTTTAATCAGCAGTCATTGTCATACAAAAGCATATACCAAGCTCTGTGGCAGCTGAAAAGACTTCGTAAAGTAACGTTTCCTTAATGATAAGATTGGCCTTTGCATAAGACCGTGCTAGGGGCGGGAGATGTTATATTCTCCATTGTTTCTACACTAGAAAACCTATCAGACTTATATGACTGATTCTCTTCAGATTGCTGTTGAGAGGTTACCACTACTTTGTTGATTTACTTTGTCAAGAAATACTGTAAAATATGTCCATTGTATCATGTTTTACCTGTTTTTGCACATTGATGTTGATCGTTTTTAGGTCTGACATTTTTATTTTAACATATGAGTGCCAGTTTAGTATCTAATGCCTTTCTAGGCCCATTATAAGTTTTATCTCCAGTTAACTTTATGATTGTTTGAAAACTAACAAACTTTAACAGTTTCTTCCATTTTCCGATTTCATTTTTTAGGTTCGTTTACACATATATATATAGGTAAGAATATCTTAAAGATTTTCACAAGTATTTTTAAAGAGCCATAATTTAATAAACTACTTATATCTTTTGTAATGATGTGTTCAGAAACACTTCCTTTCTTTTACAAGAAGACAAATTCAATTGATTTTCCCAATAATATTTACATTATTTAATAATATATTTGCAAAGATTTCAGTTTATAGATCGAAACCGGTTGAACTTTTTACAAGTGTCTATATTCAAAGGTTAAGAACTCAATGCTTTAAATCACGGACTATATTATCTTCAATAAAGTTGGTT